ATGGAATGATTTGGAGATTTTGGCGGTTAAAATAGCATTTGGCCCACTATGATTTTAAAACACCATTTTTTCAATTCTAAGTGCAAGAAATTAACTGCCGCAAATCACTTTCTTTCTTCCCATTCTCTTTTTTATGTATTTATGAAAAATATAGAATATATATATATATATATATATATATAAAATTTATTTTTTGTTATTTTTTTTTGAAAATAACTTAATGATCTCATACCTATTTGGCCTAATAGATTTATATTTGTTTAAATAAAATGTTATTCTTACATAGAACTAAAATTTAGCCAAAGTTCACCAAGAATCTTTACACCAATATAATCTCAAAGACAAACCCCTATCCCAAGTAGAAAAAAAATAATGTATTGATACCGTAATCTTATCAAACCTGCATACATATTCTACTTTATGAAGAGATTTAGATTTCGATATCCATGAGAAATAAGCTTAAACTAACATGAGAGTCAGGATAGTTACATGAATCTGACAAGGTATTTGAACCCAAATGATAGAAAATATTCTTGGTTAATTTCATATTATACTACCACTAACATGAGTAAAACAAAGTTATACAGAATTTTGTAAAGAAGACTGATCTAGAAGAAAGTGAGCAAAAATCATTCACTAGTCGAACTTGGATGGTACTCTAACAACAACAGATATCTAAGCATCAAACAATAATTTTTAATTACAAACACAGAACAATCAAGAAAATAATCTTGTTCATCGCAATAAATATTCAACTAAAAAAGAAGATTCAAGTATTACCTTTTTGCAAAGATTTCATAATAAAGTAAAAGTTGTAATCCATTTGCAGAGACTTAAGAACAGCAAGGTGGCCTAGGCCGCGGATTCGAAGGCAAACAAAAGTGATGGACTTTATCCAAACTCACAGCTATCAAACACAGATCAAAACCAACAACAACATCAGTGTAGCAACCCAGAAGACACCTTGAAACTCGACAGTTTTTTTAAATAAGAAAGAACTACACACTAACTTCAAACTTTTTATATTTTTCTGAAAGATTTTTGCTCTTAGTTTCAGCCTTCTTTAGATTTTTCTGCCCCCTTTGTGTGTGTTTGTGAGTGTATGTGAGTGAGGTCAAAATTTGTGGGTGGAGGAGGAAGAAGGTGAGATAGGCGGCTAGGTTGAAGAAGGTTGCTCCCCCTCTTTGTTTTGGTGTAGAAGAGAGATCCTCCGTTCTTGGAGGAAGTTTGGTGTGCTTTAATTTGGGGTATGGGGTTTGTGAGTGGGGGACAAAGTGTGGGGGACAAAGCATGTGGGACAAGCATGGGGGACAAAGAAAAGTTAAGTGGGGACACGCCTGGAAAGCGGGAAATATTCAAGCACGGTCAAAAATTAGGTGCTCACAAACTTGAAAGATCTTAATCCTTAGAAATAGAGATCTTATTAATATTGACTAACCATTATTACACATAAAACACCATTTGACCGGCCATTGTAAGGTCAGGGGTATATTCGTTTAATTTAATTTACTTTAGCTAATTGCTTAAGTTCGGTGGGAAGAGAAACAAAAAAGAGATGATCAATTTAAGTGTTTATGCAAATAATTTTTATTGTTTACTATTCTAGAATTTCAAAAGCATTGTCCAGTTAAAGAATAAAGAAACACCATCGGAATAACTAGCTAGATTATTAGGTATATTTAGTTATTAATTTAGATTATGTGCAAAACAAATGAAAGTTAACTATGATTAGACACTAATAATTGTAGTTAGATTAAGTAACAAGTATCATTTAGTTATTGGATTGGTATAAACACCCTGTGAGGGTAAGTTTTTCCCCTGCTATTTTCAGAGTAGATTTTCGTTATTATGCAAGTGCATTTAGTAAAATGCCCTACTCCCAAGATATAATACACCACTCAAAAATCTTCTAATGCGTATTCAAATAGAAGTTCCAGAAAGGTCTTAAATCTCTCAGCTGTTTTAATAGGAACTAGATTGAAGTAAAGAAACTCGTAAAAGTGAAAAGATGAAGAGCCAATAGATGAAGTTTTGGAAACTCAACATATATGGAACTCAAATTATGATTTCTTGGGCTGTTGGGTAGGTATTTATAGATAGTGAACTATTCTCTCCGTTCCAATTTATGTGAACCTATTTGATTAGACACGGAGTTTAAGAAAAAATAAAGACTTTTGAGATTTGTGGTCCTAAACAAGTCAAAAAGGGTCCAGAGTATTTGTGTGGTTATAAAAGCTTTTCATTAAGGGTAGAATTACAAATTTAAGCTAAATTGTTTCCAAATTTAGAAAGTGATCATTCTTTTTGAAACGAACTAAAAAAAAATAGGTTCACGTAAATTGGAATAGATGGAGTATAACTAATGTACCTTCTCGTGAATTGATATGGCATTCTACAAAAATTGGATACATCTCTTCAGATGTATACAAAAATTGTACACATCTTCTGGAAAATGTTGTGCCTTTTCAACAATAGGTACATACAATATTAAGCATATTAAAATTTGATACTCACAATGAAACCAATAACTTTCATATACTTATGATTATTTCCATTTGGGATAAATATATACACTTGAACTGGAAGTAGCCATCGGCAGGTCATGAATGCTGACTAATTGTTGGTCTTACCACTTGTATCAATAGACAAACTTTAATTAATGTTGAGGTTTTTTGCTTATAAAGTCCGTCAAATTGCTAAATCTTTCCTTATTTCTCTGTAACACTTATCTTTTATCTTTTTAATACACTATTCTACTTGCTACGAGTTTGTATTGAAAGTTTGCATTGCAACAACATACAAGCATAAATTTTAATTGGGATTAGGGGTGACAAATGGGCAACTTGTTAGTTTAAATTTAAACAAGGGCTTAAAATTGCAAACGTTGTTATACGACTCGTACTGCTCATGAAGTGTATTATTTGTATAAAAAAAAATAAGACCGAATAACCTAATAAACACGTCTACTTGTCCCAGACATCCCATCCCCTCTACTAGAGGTGTCTAGTTTCTGCTAGGCTATTTGGCTAAAAAGCCCGGCAAAAAAGGCAACATAATCAAGTAGAGTTTACAAATAAGTTTTACTAACAACAACAACAACAACAACATTGACATGAGGCGGGAGGATAGTGTGTACGCAGAACTTAAACCTATCAGAGAGGTTGTTTTCAATAGACCCTCGACATCCTTTCCTCTAAGAACTCCACACCTTGCTCTTGGAGTGACTCGAACTCACAACCTCTTGGTTGAAAATGGAAGTTGCTTACCATCAAAGCAACCCCTCTTGTCTAAATTAAAAAAGGGTAGTTATCCTCAGTTAAGTGAAATTAAAAAAGCGTAGTCATCCTCAACGGAAACAACCTAGTATGATTATAACATCCCTATCCTTTGTCACCCTTTAACTATAAGAGCAAAACTTAAAGCAACACACAACAATAGAACAAAAGTGAAAAAGAGACAGTTCAGACAAACAGAGAAATAATACGAGAAGAATAATAGAATCCCATGCTGTATTTTGTAGTGGCAAATAAAATTACATGAAACGATGCACTAAATAATCACAAAATCATTACATTACATAAAAAGGCACAAAATACCATAATCAGCTTACAAATCATACACTTGTTTGCCAGTGAACTTGACCTCAATTGGACTCTTGTTCTTACCAATGGATCTGAAGTTTTGTCCAACTCCTTGACGGCCAGCGTTCACCTTTTCTGGATACACACCATCCTTAGGATGCAAGTATTGAACCTCACCATTAGGAAACACCCTGTAAAACCTGTAGTTAATCTTGTACTTAGACCTCAGCCTAGTACCAAGTGCTAAACACTGCTCTTTCCTCGCCAATTTCAACAAATTAGCACCTTCCCTCATAATAGCAGCACCACCAGTTGGCATTTCAAAGATCTGCTCTTTAGGTGATTCCCAAGTGATTACGTAGAATTCCTCAACTTGGGCCTTGCGAAGAAGCCCACCGGTGCTGCCACCGAAGATCGGGGAAGGTGTATTTGGGTCCAATTGTGGTGGGGTGAAGCCCACTGGAGCCTCTGCTTCTTTTGTGGCGGCGGCGGCGGCTTCTTCGGCCATGGCTCTAATGGGACGGGGAGCGGAAACAGTGGATTTGAGTTGCTTAGGAGAGAAGGAAGCGAGGGATTGTTTCCATGGGGAAGAGGATTTTGGGGCAGAGAGAGCTGGAGTGAAGAGAGAAGCTTGAGTTGCCATGGCCATTGAAGAATTATTGGCTTAGGAAAGTTAGGGAAATGGAGATGTATTTGTGCAGAATGAGAATGAGAGAAGAGAGTTCATTTTTTGTTATTCGGATATATGTGGTGGAGATAAGGATATTGGATAGGGTTATTCAGATACAGACCAATTAGAAGGTGTGATTTTGATACGCATTCTAACCAAGTCAGTGAAGTCCTCAGCCTTTAGTTTTCTTTTGACATGTGTCGTTTGGATCTTGGTTAATGCTCGGGTGTAATATCTCAGGTAAACTATAGATTTTGTTAAGTGGAGTATAAAAATGGAAAAGTGACCCTTATAACTATCCAGGTTGAAATTCTTTATTACAGTTACTATCCATACACTCAATTTACATTCTGGATCGGAAATATTTAAACATGCTATAAATGTTACTCCATTTAAACTAGTAGCACTACTTTTTAATATACCAGCAGGGGCGAAGCCAACTATGGTTAGGGTGGTCAATTGACCGCCCTTTATCGAAAAATTACACTGTATATATAAGTAAAATATTACGTTTTAGATGTACATAACATATATTGAACACCCTTTATCAAATTTTTATTTATTTACTTCAAGTTTGAATCTCCTTGAGGAAAATCCTAGCTTCGCCCACTGTATACCAGAAGTTGTGTAATCTATGTTAATAGTAATTCTTAAAAAGAACATACAATGTAGAAGTTCCTAATAATTTTATCTTATCGGCTTTTCTTATTTCATCTTAAGTACAATGATAGGATATAATTCTTTTTTTTGGTAAATAAGTTTTCTATTTATCTGAATACTATGTACAAGTATGTCATCCTTCTAAAGTTGGACATGCAGTCCCAACTTTAGCATGCATCTCTAGTCTCTTCTACTAACTCTGACCTTCAGAAATCTTTACTACTGAGTATCATTTATCTTATTGCACCTGGTTAGACCTTCTCCTTATTGCTTCATGGATAGAAGTTTAGGCTTGCCATCTGCTTTGCTAGTCTTGGTACTTTGCTTCCTCTGCAATGTATATCTTGTATAATCATCTTTACAATCACATCCTCTGATTTACGTTTGTTCTGGAATAGTTTTAGGTTCCTTTCCTGCCAGATATAGTAAATGCTCCCAGCTAAAGTCATTCTATATATTTCAGTTTTCCCACATTTCCCTCGTGCATTCTTTATTGCCCATGTTATCTCCTCAGACCATCCCATTGCAGCTCTGCTGACACCTTGCCAGGTGAGTAGTTTTTGCCAGATTCCAACTGCTATGTTGCATTCGAAAAATAAGTGTTGCGTGGTTTCCTGTTCTTGCTCGCATTAAATACATATCGGGCTACTCTGCATCCCCCATTTGATGAGCCTATCTCTGGTATATAGCCTATTCTGTACAACCATATATAAAATGAAGGACCACCTTGGACTGCTTTGATTATTACATATCAGCCTCCTCCAATGAACTCTGGAATAATCACCTCGTATGTTGTTATACATTTGCCTTATGGAGAACTTGTCCCTGCTCATAGTCTCATCTACTGTTAGCCCAATCTCTTCAATATTTTCCTGTATTGAAGATCTTTTGCATAACCCAGGATGCCTGCTTTGGTTTTACTTCATTCATCATATTCCCCTTTATATAATATGTGTGGACCCATTTGATCCACAGTCTATCTTTTTTGCCCAAGACTCCAGTGGTGCTTTAGTATAGCTGCTTTGTTTCATAAGCCAATGTTTGTTATGTTCAATCCACCAACAACCTTAGGCAAGCATAACTTTTTTTAGGCAATGAGAGCTTTTTTGGAACATTCTGCAGCTCCTGTCCAGAGGTAGCTTCTGCAAATTGCTTCAATCACCTGAATGATCTTTTTAGGCAATATGAATATTTGAGACCAGAAATTTTGTATAGTTGTAAGTACACTCTTAATCATATGCAACCTACTTGCATAAGACATTAGTTTTACTTTTCAGGTAGTGATCCTTCCTGTCATCTTGTCTAATAGTGGTTGACATTGCCCAACTGATAGCCTCTTAGAGCTCAGAGGTACACCTAAGTATCTAAAGGGCAATGTGCTAGTTTGGAAGCCCAAAGTTTGCAAGATTCCATGCTGTATGTTAGGAGCAACTCCTCCAAAATAGATAAAACTTTTCTCCTGGTTAGCTACTAACTAGAAGCCCTAGAAAAACTGTCAAAACAAACATACAGTAGCTTTGCAGATATCACATCTCCCCTGCAGAATAGGAGCAGGTCATCTGCAAATCCCAACTGCACTAGGTTTAGCTTTGCATACTCTTCAGAGTCTTCAGCAGCCTGGTAAGGTATTCCATTTCTATTACAAAAAGATATGAAGATAGGGGGTCCCCTTGCCTCATCCCTCTCTTTACAGCAAATGGAGTAGTTGCCTTACCATTAACTACAATAGAGTAGGATACTGTTTGTACACAGGTCATAATCCATTTCACAAATGTCTCAAGGAAATTCAACCCAATAAGCACCTGCTCCAGGAACACCCACTCTAGTGAGTCATAGGCTTTTGGCATGTCAATTTTGATCATGCATCTAGGTGATGTTTCTTTTCTCCCATACCACTTTATTAGCTCATGGCTAAGTATAATATTATCATTGATCACCCTGCCAGGTACAAAAGCAGCATGTCCTTTATCAATCATGTCATCCATAACCCCTTGTAGTCTGTTGGTTAGCATTTTTTATATGATTTTGTATATTGTAGTGCAGCGGGAAATTGGTCTGAATTCCTTCACATAAGATGGGTTCTTTACTTTTGGAACTAGTGTAATAGCAGTACAGTTTATTGGCATGTACATGTCTTGAGTTTCAAAGAACTTCAGCACTGTATTGGTCACCTCCTCTCCAACTGTTGTCCAGGCTTTTTTTGAAGAAGCATGAGTTGAAACCATCTATCCCTGGTGCTTTAGCTTCATCTATCCCCTGTAGTGTCTTATATACTTCTTCTTTGTCAAAAGGTCTAATGAGTGCTTGTTGCTGCCTTTTATTAAGTATATAACATGTGTTCATTATATTAGGCTGTATTACTGGCAGTGTTGTATTTACATTTCCTAGTAACTACTTGTAGAATTTGAGTATTTCCTCATCTATGCCCTTCTCTGTTTGCAAAATTCTGTCTTCAGTAGACACTAAAGCCTTGATATGATTTTGTGATCTCCTATTCTTCATGCTTGCAAAGAAGTATGCTGAATTGGAGTCTCCTAACTTTAGCCATTGCACCCTGAATTTCTGTTTGTATATGCTTTCTTCTATCAAATACCATTTCTCAAGTTGTATTCTCAGCTCCTTTTCTGCTTAAATAAGTCTTGTGAGTGGTTTGGAGTTCTCACGTCTTCCTGTACATTTTTAAGCTTGTCTCTGATGTCTTTGATTCTTTTTGTGACCCCATTAAACTCTTTGACATTCAGTTCTTTGATGGCATTCTTAACATGCTTTAGCTTCTCCCAGATGTCCTTCATATAGTGTGCATTATTAGTTTGCCTCCAGCTGTTTTCTACTACCTTGGTGAAATTAAGGTGTTCTGCTATACAGTTCATGAATCTAAATGCTTTCCTGCATCTATTTTTTGGCCTACCCAATTTAATGTAGAGTGGAGAGTGATATGAGAAGATAGGATCCATAACTTGCACTGATAGAAGTGGCATTGTAGTTATCCAGTTTGAGTTGACTATGGATCTATCAATCTTACTATATGTGTGATTATTGCTCCATGTGTATGATCTTCCAATTGTTTGTAGTTTTGTCATCTCAGCTTCTACCATAAACTTTCTGAAATCTCTTGTTTCTGCATCCTACACTTTTTTACCATGTACTCTGTCTTCTACATTCAATATGGCATTGGAGTCCCTAATTATTAATCATGGTCCTTGCTTCCATGACTCTATTTGCTCCAGTTGTTGCCACAAGACCAGCCTGTCCTTTATACTATGTAAGTCATACACTGCAGTGAATTGATATTCAATGTTCACAGCTATCCCTTTCACTTGAACATGTATGAATTGAGGATGCATATTCAGTTCAGTTATCACTGTAAGGTTAGGGTTCCATAGCATCCATATTCTCCCTCTTTGTGTACGAGATTCATTAGTGATCCAGTCCCATCCAGGTGCAATTTTATTAAATAAACTTGCAACTTTACTCTCTTGAGTTCTATGCTCTATTATTGCTATAATACTAATGTTATTCTCTCAAATAAACTCATTTGTCTCCTTTTGTTTATACAACTTATTCACCCCTTGAACATTCCAAGTAACTATCTTCATCTTGGTAGAAAAGGAAAATGAGTCATGTCCTCCACCCCTATGCTACTTCCTCCTCCTCTTTATACTGTGCATGTTGTGGTTCCATTCTCTGTTGATTTGCTTCTTCACTAAGTGAATTGAAACCATTAATGCTAACCAGCTGTTCTGTACTCTCTAGTTCGCCTGTTTTAAATGTCTTCACAGCTGATCTTCCACGCACTTCTGTCCAACCTTCCTCACCTTCTTTGGCTTTCCCCTTATTGTCTGGTACTTCCTTGTCATTTTTAGTTTGCACCTGTGTTACAGTTTTGCTTTGCCCTGCTTTCACACATACCTGCTTCGTAAGCTTCTTCATAGTTTGTGGCTGTTGTTCCCGATTCCTTGTGGTTTGGACTTTTTGTTGGCAGCAATGCCCTACTTGCAAGCATGTAGGACAATACAATGGTCTCCAATCGTATGTTATCTCCTGTTCAAATATCTCTCCATTAGGATCTTCAACAGTCACCTTTGTTGGCAATGGTTGAGTGACATCCATCTCAATAAGCATCCTTGTATATGAGACCTTTTCGACCTTTGTTGTACAATCATCATCATATAAAGGGTTCCTTAGTCTACTCCCTATTCTGCTTAATGAGTTCATACTCCAACAATTGAGTGGTAAATTTGGAAGTTTAATCCATAAGGGTATGATTTTTAATACCTCCTCATCAAAATTGAAATTCGGAGTCTAAACTTTGGTTATTATAGGTTTGTTATTGATTGTGTATGGCCCTGAGAACAGGACCTCATTCTGGTCTTCCTTGCATGTGAACTTGACAATGAAGTAGCCTTCATTGTGCACGTAAACTTTAGGTTTGGCTGTGAAGTTTCACTGTAATGCAA